GTGGCACAGCGGTAGAATATTCGCCAACCACGCATGTAGTCCGTGCTTCGATCCCTGACGGATACACTCCTTCACCTGGCTGACACAGTAATAAGACTGGTAAAGAGGGAAGGTTGTGCATGAGGCTGGCAACCCCATCTCGTGAAAGTAAAAACCACTGCTACGTAGACTTCAAGCCTCTGACTTGAAACCCTATGTTTCTCTGGGAACATAAAAGAATAAGAAGATATTTATATACGTATTATAAGAACGAAATTTCTCCCTAACAAGGAATAATTTTGTGGTTAGGGTGGTCACAAGTCATTGGTAATTGAGTAATCACAGATTACGGTGATAAGAATTCACAAGATTGGAAAGTCGAAATTTTGTGTGTAAGAAGTCGACTGAAAAAAATATGATGATTTAATACACTGAGTAGAATTCAAAGGGTCACTTCTTCTATCCGGGTCAGAAACTTGCACTGAGTGTCATGAAAAGAATTTCCAACGAGTGAGTTCAGAGTTTTATCAACAGTTGCTCACTTCGATGGCTCCACAGTGAAGTCTGTATGAAGGTCAACAACACTCAGCATGAAAAACAAGATGCGGATTTACAAGTCCAATGTGAAGTCAGTGCTACTCACTATACGGATCAGAGAATTCGCGCCATGTCACGAAGGGCACTTCAAACGAACTACAAACCTTCATTAACAGCTGTCTTCGATCAATACTACTCAAGATCAGATGGCCGGCCAGAAAAGATTAGTAACAGAGAGGGGTCTCTGGCAATGAGTGAACCAACCCAGCAGGAACCGCTTGTGCAACAGATTTGCAGGAAGAATTGGGAGTGGATTGGAGGTCAAACGCTGAGAAAACAAACCATCAAGTGAGTGACATCATACGCCAGGCCATTGCTCGAGTGAAACCCTAATAGGAAGCATCGAGTTGGTCGTCAGTGAGAGGGTGACATAGAAGTGGTCATGTGAAGAGGAGATGAAAGCATGTGGAGCCAGGTGAAAACGTTAGAAGAGAACCGAACGTAATGGAGACGTGCGGTTGAAGTCCTATATCCCTCTAGGATTTAAAGGAAACAATAATAATAATGTTACACTGAAGATCAAACGACCGGCTCTCTGGCCAGCTGGCCATTCTCAACCCAAAGGAATAATAATAAGAAAGTCGAACTGAAAGTGGTGAGGGAGGAGTGTTGAAGCAAAATAATGAGATTAAAAGACAAAGAGTTATGAAGAAGACGGTATTTAGTGTGACTCAGGTCGCACAAAGCATTCCTTCTGGATGCATTTTGCAGGTCTCCTATCGTTTTATTGCGATACCTTCCGCAAACCGAAGAAGACTTGGACTGTTCTGTCTGTTAATTATTTTGGTTGCTTCAAACAGGTCCACTAGCTATCCTATATGCATCACGTGTATGATATCTGACGAGTTCAAACCACTCGATCCTTTTTGTCAAGACGGAATTTGAGAATCTATTCCATCTGCAAACCGACTTACACCCCATCACTGACGACACAAAAGGTTGGTTTAAATCAAGATTAGATGATATTTAAAAACGGGTCCGTCGTAGGACTTCAGTTACCCTAATGCCCGTCTCCTTCATAACTCTTTATCTTCCAACTTCATCATTTTGTTTCGAAACCCAGCCCCCCAAAACTTTTCTTTCAACATTCAGATTAGACTTCATTTGATCCTTTGAGTTCTACTCAGTGTATTGCGTCATTATCATCATCATCATTATTTTTTCATTTGACTTTCCAATCTCATGAATTCTAATCGCTGCATTTTATAATCTCTAAATACTCAGTTATCCCTAAATTGTGACCATCCTGAGAACAGAATTGCTCCTTGTTTAGGAGAAAATTTTAATTCATAAAAAATTTCCATTCGAACATTAATAGACAGAAGACAAGTAGTTCAGCGAAGAATCTATTTTCGGCGAATTCATTTTCATAGCTGTACAATCGCAAATATCTATATGGCTGTTTTGTATGTGTGTGTACATTAAATTTGTCAAACGAAAATACAGTTAGTAAGTTCAGGTGAATTCGATGTTGATATAAGAGGGTAGTAACAAAAATGATGAGTTGTCACAAACGATTGTTAAAGAAGAGTTGCGTAATAACATGAATAGTTTAATGAAAGAGTTGTACTCAGGGTGAACATGGAAACAAAATATACGGAATTGCACAAGGGTTTTAAGTGGAAAAAATAAGCATAAGTTAAGTCAAATCAACACAGTTGTTACCATGAGAGTAGAAGTGGTTGAATAATTTTCTTTTGTATGCACAGTTCTGGTTCCTCTAGCTTAATGGCTAGGGCTTCTGCGATGCAAAGAAGACGGAATCGTACTGTCTTTGGAAGGTTATTCTTCACTTTGTAGATTACTTTGAAGCAGGATGTGTTTGTTGAGATGGAATAACCAGTGTTGACGAGGTGTTCTATTATTGCACTCCTTATGCAGCCATTACTTCCTCTCTGTAGCCACGCTGGATAGCGTTCTTTGACCCTTTTTGACAGAATAGGCGTTGAACGACCGATGTACCTGGCTTCACAGCAGCAGGTGAACTGATATACACGCAGATCAGCGGGCGACTAGAGATTACCACTCTCAATGTTGCCACAAAGAAAGTTCTTCTTAAAGAGTTGGAGATTTTCCTTCTAAGGACGTCACTGAGTAGGTCTCCTTTGAAGTCGAGGTTCATATAAAGTATCTTTTTTGGCACAGGTGCTGTTTCTTGCTTTTGGATTTTTTGTTTGATGTTTTTGTCTACGAATCTTGATGGGTAACCGTTTTGTATGAAATTTCGCTCTTATGCATATATATATATATACAGGTCAGAAACTTGCACTGCTATGTCCTATTGAGCTGACTAGAAATGACGGAATAAAATGGACCTATATATTTATTCTGCAACAATGTTTGTTCTGTCTCTCTCCAAAAGAGAGTTTATGGAATATGTGAAATGAAAGTTTCTAAAAAGTAGAGGTGATAATGACAGACTTAAAATTGACTCTATAGAAAAATATTTAGATACACACCTTACACGTTCAGTCGTCATGAACAGTTCACAGACGTATCCTACAAAGAGACTGAATTTTCATTTATTTAATTGACTAGATATTAGTTGGAGGATTTCAACATGAGCTGACACATCGGTTAGAGAACCACTGGAAAACTCCAGCATTGGAGTACTGGACAACCAGTTGTTTCATCAGTCTAGTTTGGGGCGAGCTAGCTCGCCTTGTAACCAGAAGATCCTGGGTTGGAATCCCTGGTGTAGGTGAGTAATGCCAGTGCGTCCCAGACTAGGATGAAACAGCTGGCTGTCCAGTACTCCCTGTAGGTCTTCCAATAGTTCTCTAAATAAGGTCAGCTCATGAGGAAGTCCTCCACACAATCAAACAAAAAATCCCTACAAAACCAATACGTGGAAATAGAAACACTTTAAATGTATAATAATAATAATAATAATTTGCTTTATTCCAGAAACAGCACTAATGGTGCAGTGTGGAATTTTCAGCACATATCTAAAATATTTGCATCTAATTTTATCAAACATTTAAAAGGAGTATTTCAAAAAATTAATATAAAGACAACAACAACAAAAGAAAACAAACAAAAATAATAAGAAATGCGGAAAGATACCAAGAAGTAGAAAGGAAAATAAACAACATAAAATAATATCTCAGTATAGGTAGTAGAAGCTATGATATGATTATGCATGGTGACAGTAAAGCTATAGTCATACAAGAAGTTATGAAATGGTATTTAAGAATGTTTGTCGCCAAGATGATTAGTTAATTTAGGTTGAAACAACACTAAACAGTCATAAAATAACATTTCAGGGTTCTTATTATTGTCAGGTCTACTGCGGTGTTTGTAGTGGTAGTGTAAGTAATCCTGCATAATATAAAATTATAAAATGGCTTTCGCAACCAAGATTGTCAGTTAATATTGCCGAACAAAAAAACAACAACAACCACAAAAACTAATAATTACATGATGGTTAATGACAGGACAATTTTGTAATACTCATAGTGCTAATGTAGTCGGAACCATTAGATACACAAAAGAAGGAATACAGTAAAGTACAAAAAAGGAAGCCAATGTTAATAATTTAGGTAGCTAAGTATGTTTAAGAAGGTGTTCACTATAGAATAGAAAATAAGAGAAAAATAAAAGAGCCTAAAATTATGTTATTAATAACAAAGCAAGTCATAGGTTTCGCAATTAACATTGTCTCTGTCACTTAGAACACGGGCCAAGTATGGTATCATTGAGTTCCTGTACTTGGTTGTACGAGCATAGATTATTTTATACTGATTTCTGGTTCTACTTGATGAGATACAAGGCGAGAATTGGGAATAGAGGGGGTTTTTGGGGTCTGAGAGTATGGTTTTAGACCATTTTTCACATGTATTCAGATGGCTTTCAACTAATGTAGTGACGAGCTAACTGAGTTTTACACCACTAGTCCTACTAACTACCTTCAACATCCTTCTCAGGATGGTATATTCCTTTTTCAGTAGCCCAGGAAAGATAACGGGGAGCAGTAAATTAGAATAGGTAGGATACAAGAGTTGACAAATTGTGAAAGTAGAGGTTGGGTGATTCCAGATTGTCTTAATTTCTTAATGTAGTAGGTTGGACAGAACACTTTCTTAGAAATCGTTTGGATATGAGATGTCCAAGTAAGGTCGGAAGAGAGAACTAGACAGAGGTATTTTGCATTTCATGCTACTACTATTATGATTATTATTCTATGTATCCATGCCTTTGTTTCAATCTCCTCATGGGATATAATTTATTGTATATATGACTGTACAGCTTTGGAGCCCAAAAGAATAATAATATAGTACACACACTCACACCTGATATCAATGGTCGGCCTGCAAAATTTGGGCTACTGATATCACATGCTGAGAATTCCATACTTGTACCGAAAACACAGTGTGGAATCAAGCTGTAATCAAAAATAAAAGAAATACATCACACCAACTTACATAAATGACTTAACAATCCATTGTTTTAATTCTTCTTTATCAATTTTTTCATTATTATCTGTATCAATTTTATGAAATAATTTTCCCAGTTGTCTTTTTGCCTCATCTGGATCTAATTCTTTAAATCTCTGTGAGTATTCATGTGAACCAGTAATCAAATCATGATCATATTCACTAAAATGGTGTTGTTGTTGATCAAAGTCATCATAATGTTCATGACCTTGATAATTCGCGTCATCTATATTCATCATATGTAAATCTGGTTCATTTGGACGTAAATATTTATCAAATTTTATATCGATATTATCAAAATCATTTGAGCATATAATGAATTTTAATACAAATAATAAGTAGTATATTGCGTACATTGTTGTTTTTTTCTTAAAATCGGAGAAGAAATAAATATGATTAGACAGGAAAAAGAGGGAAATTCTTTGTTCTTTGTCGTTCACTATTCCATGTGTTGAGTCAATTTATATATGCACTTTTGAATTAGAATACGGGTACCCTTATCTTCAAAACTATACCTAGTAAGGATTACGTATAATTAAACGTATAATAAACGGATTGGTTAAAACAGGCTTGAAGATTGATTACAAGGTCATTGCGGTGGAGAAAGTAATTTTTCGGTTTTGCGGAAAACTACACTTCAGACTAAGAAAAATAAAAATAAATGAAAACTTCAACAAAGAAGAACATAGTTTAGAAATAGGACTGCCGACCATCTACCTCAAAGAGCTTTTATTGAGATGCACGTTGAGTGTTCAGTTCACCTTCAATAATGAGATCTTTAGACAGAGAGAGACGGCATTGCTATGGGATCACCACTGGGTCCCTTGTTGGCTGATTGTTTTATGGCTAAGCTTGAAAATTCTCAACTTAATCAAACCATCGGTCATTTTGACATTTATAAAAGATACGTAGACGACACTTTCTTTATGTGCGATAAAAATGTAATTCTTGATGATGTCTTGTTTACTTTCAACAACTGCCATCCTTCTTTACAATTCACCGTGGAAAAGGAATCCGAATTAAGTATTCCCTTTCTTGATGTGTGCCTTAGCAGACGTAATGACAGATCTCTCGAAAGATCTATCCACCGGAAACGTACATGGAACGGACAACTAACTAATTTTTACAGTTGGGTGCCTATTTCCAGGAAAAAGAACTTAATTCATTCGCTTTGCTATAGGATAAGGAAAATTTGTAGTCCTGATTCCGTTGACTCAGAAAACGGTTACCCTAACCGATTTATTGACAGCAGCATGAAAGATAAGTAGTCTAAACTGGTCACCGATACAGTTCAAAAGAAAACCTTATTCATGAACTTGGAATTCAAAGGTGATCAAGCTTCAGATATGCTCAAAAATCGTCTCTCTAAATCAATCAGTAAGACGTTCTATGCAGCAAAATTACATATGACGTTCACTAGCCGCAAGTTGTTCTCTACCTCTGTAAAAGATAAGCTCCCCTGTCTGGCCGCCTCCATGTGCATCTATCAGTTCACCTGCTCTTGTGGAGCAAGATACATTGACCGTAGTCAGAGGACGCTTTCCACACGGATACGAGAACATATTCCAGCATGGTTTTACAAGGGAGAAAGGAAGTGTGTGAAAAGCTCTATTTTGGAACACCTGATCGACTTCTGTCACTCTGTCAACCCTGACCATGATTTAAAGATCATATATAGAATCCATGCCAACTTGCCGCGTTTTCTTCGTTACAGACTTCTAAAGACAGCTGAGGCCTTGGCAATTCATGACTTTAAGCCAGACAGAGCTTTGTGTACCAAAGAAGTATGTACAGTCCCTACTTCTGCCTTGGCCGTAGAGGGATAGACATTTATTTATTTTGTTTATTTAGTTATTCTATGTACTCTTGCCTTATTACTACGATTATTATTATTATCATTATTATTACTATTCTCTGAATCTTTTCCACTTGACCCACTTGACATTTTAAACCCAAAATTATTAATTTTTATATTTTTATTTTTACAATATTGAATTCTATCTTATCAAATTTCACACCATGTTTTGTAACATTTTATATTTGTCTACTAATCCTATAATTATGCACCCCTTTCCAACATATATACACCTTATGTATTATTCTATATATGACATTAACTGTTTTGCCACTTGACATTTAACTATGATTATAATCACAAATATTTTAATTTTAATTGCATTTCATACTACTATTATTATTATTATTATTTCATGTATTCACACCTATGATTGAATTCCCTCACCGGATATAATTTCTTAAGGAAAACTATATACATACGATTGTACAGCTTGATAATAAATTCGTTGAAAAGAGTCTCTTCGCTGAATATTGTGTTCTTAACTCAATAATGCTCATGATTTGCTATGTATGAAATGGATGTCCAATGAAAGTTTTTGATCTCCTTTTGACCAACTTTTGACAGATTGCTTTATTTTCTATATTTGGTTTGTAAGCATTAGATTTGCTTTTACGAGTTTGACCACGGAGGATTGATATCAGTTAGAGAAGCATTGAAAACCAGTTGGGGTTAGTACTGGACAGCCAGCAGTTTCATCCTTGTTTGAGAATTATCGGCAGTACGCACCCACCACACGGGTTCGGACACAGGACCTTCCGGTTACAGGGCAAGCTGGCTCGTATACCATTCAGCCACTAGGATCCGATTTAATGGCCATCCCATGAATTCTAACTTCTACCAATTCGTAATTTTAACGCGACTACCAACCAATGTCAACGGGAGGAAATCCATCCTCACTCCCAACTGCAGGAAACACCTGTCCAGCACTCCTGCGCTGGTTTTCAATGGTTCTCTAACTGATATCTTATCCGTCGTCAATCTCGTGAAAACAAATCTAATCTTTATAAACCAACTCCTGAAAATTAATCTGATGCTCGCTAGTGACTGGCTACGGGATGGAGTTTCCTGGAGTTGGTTCTAGTGAGAAGTCGTGACCACAGAGGTTCAACCAGTCAACTAAGTGAGGATGGGTTTCCCGCCGATGACCACCGATTGGTTCGTGCCAGTCACGCTAAACGCATCACGAATTGGTGGAAGTTAGAATTCATGGGCTGGCCATTGAATCAGGAGACTGCTTTATGGCAAGTTTGAAAAATATGATCTTAAAATCAACGACAGACAAATGATTGCTGTACAGAAGGAATTTTAACGACCCCTTTTTATAAATTTGAATAGAGCAAAAACAACTGCACTTTTTGCAGAATAAGGAGATGTTACCATAACTGTTTTTATTTCGTTGTCTTCTCGTCAGCTGCTGCTTAAAACTTAAACAAATCATTATTAAGTCCATGTACAGAAAAGTTTTAACATACTTACAAATTTTACTTGTTGTCAGTTAGTGACAGGAGGTTCCGAACTTAGTGAACAGCGTTCAGAAAATTACCCTTATATAGTTTTTGCACAAGCAATTCAAATATAAACACAGTAAAAGACTAAATAGCGAAGAAAATTTTCCTTTCGACGATTCATTTTCATGAGCTGCTGTACAAATGCAATTATATTCAACAAAGAAATCTTTAGATCAATCAGATACTGGTAAACTTTGTCCTCGAAAAATGTATTACATAATGTAAGGTGTAAGAAGGGATGGAGCAGAAGTTAGCATGACACAATAAGTGTGAGATAATGACTAATCAATAAGCTCGTGTAAAACGGACAGGAACTAGCGTCTATGAATTTTGGCGGATACCCATTCTCTAGTTGGATTTCACGTAATGAATTAAATTCTTTCTCTATCATGTCTTCCGAACAGATTTTTCTAATCCTTGAACATAATGTACGTACAAGGTTTCGCTTTCGGATCCATGGGACGAAGCTCTGGAAGTTGATAAACTATGCCATCCATGTTGACTTGCGATATATTTGCTACATTCCCAAGAGCCACTATACGTATCACATTCTCCTGCAGACAGTTAATCAAGTCTAACGCTAAGGACAAGATACCACTTTTCGACACTTCAATGTGTATTTATCAATTTACTTGCTAGTGTGGAGCAAAGTATATCGGTCATACGCAAAGTCAAGTCCACACACGTATTCTGGAACACTGCCCAGCTTGGTTAGCAAGCCAGAGGAGAAAAGAAGAATAGTAGCAGCTCGATCCTCGAACACCTTGTCATCCCTGAACATCGAGCACCCTCACATAAATGCTTCACAGTGTTACACAGAGTCCCTCAATATCGTACAAAGGGACTTCGGATACGCCATCTGTACATAGCTGAAGCATTAGCTATTCGAGATCTGAAACCGGACCTCTGCATTCAAAAGCGATACATACGTCCACTCACCAACCTACCGTGGCCAGAGTAAAGTTCTTACAAAAATTTTGCTTCTTCTTTATCTTTTTTTGTTACTACTACTATTGTTTCATTATCATTATTATTCCCATCATCCATATTTTATTACTACTCTATTATTGTGTATTAATAAAATTGCTTATCTCATACAGATTTTACATAAAATCACTCTATCGCCTTTCCACTAGTTCCTATCCACTCTACACGAGCTTACTGATTAGTCATTATCTCACACTTATTGTGTCATGTCAACTTCTGTCTCCTTTCTAACTTACAATTAGTCATCCCTTCTTACACCTTACATTATGTAATACATTTTTCAAGGACAAAGTTTACCAGTATCTGATTGATCTAAAGATTTCTTTGTTGAATAGAATCACGATTGTACAGCAACTCATGAAAATGAATCGTCAAAAAGAAAATTTCCTTTGCTGTTAACGCCTTTTTCTTATGACTCAGTATGGGAATATTTTGTTCATTCAACAAGGTAAATGTATGCATACACTGGTAAGGTGGTTACGTAATAAAGACGAGATATGCATAAGATGATGAATAATTAATATCACAAGCAATGAAATAAACTTACCTTTTCCTGTCACTTACATCAGAGACATTATCTTAAGATGTACAGAAAATATCAGATTCACCTTCCTAGAAAAGACAGAAAATAATCGATGGTGTTGCGACGGGGAGCCGTCTTGGTCCCCTGTTAGGAGATAAATTCATGTCGAAATTGGAGAAATAAATGCAAGGGATGCTTGGAGAATTTATGCTGTATAAACGTTATGTAGATGATACTCTCATTATTGGTAATAATAGTAAATCTATTGAAAACTTTATTATCCTATTTAATCATATTCATCCAAATATTCGAGTGACTTCCGAACTCGAATCGAATACCAAACTTGGTTTCCTGGATATTACAATGACCAGGAGAGATGACGGAACGATTCAACGATCTATTTTTCGTAAACAGACGTGGAGTGGACAATATCTTCTTTTCACCAGTTTTGTTCCTATCCAGTATAAACGTTCCCTAGTGAAATGTTTGTTCTCAAGGGCCCGAAAAATATTCACGAGTGACACAGTGATGGATGAGTTTCGACATATACATTCAGTTTTATTAGCTAATGGTTATCCGGAGAACTTTATCACTTGTCACAGTAAAGAAAGACCACATCTCGAAAAGACAGCTTCGGTACCAAAGAAAGCTATCTTTATTAACCTACCATTCAAGGGGGACAGCTCAAAGACTTCGGTCAGCCATCAAACGCATACTGCACACCGCATCTCTTTTTCTCACTTGCCGAACATTTTCGATCCCTGTTCCTACGATTAAAGGACGAAATTCTGTGGACTCTACTTCAAACTGTATCTACAAGTTCACCTGCGGTGACACCTATATACGTAGAACCAATAGAATGTTCCAATGTCGTCGAAAAGAACATCTTCCAAAATGGTTATTAAAACACATAGAAAATCCCAATGCGAGTAATCTGAATAGAAATCCAGCATCATCCATTGCAAAACACTTATTAATGTCAGGTCACAAAGCTGATGGAAGCACTTTGGATTAATCACATATAGCCTAAACTGTGTGTACAAAAATCAATAGACTTCAATCTTCGCCTACCCTGGACTACTTGACCTATCTAAATATGATTGGTCATTAGTATGTACTTTTGTGTATTTTATTTAACTGAGTAATTGTCATGATCTTTATTTTATTATTGTTAACCATGTTAGTTGTAAAGCGGTTGTAAAGAAACTACAAAATGATATCATCTCGCGAAATTTCTCTTCTTAATACCTTATTCAAATTAGGTAACAATGTACTGAGTTTAACTCAAATCACAGAAACAAGAGACAAGCAAAATTACACTTTGTCAAAGGGGTGACTTTAAAGCCAAAGATTAAGTAATCAAATGAAAGACAGAATAAAGACATCGAGTTACCAGGTAGGCAAGGAAAGACTGATAACTGCTTCCTTCTGAACACATAAATCTGGTTTCAAGCGTTTGATAGAGAATGCTCCGGCTAACTTAAGGACAACCGAGCTCTTTTGTTTATTGATAATTTAAAAGGATTTAGCGATTTCCACCTCGTGACCCATATCAAGGCACTATTGTAAACGCTTGTTCCATTTAGGTGTAGGTGTGCCCTTCTTTCTGTTCTCCCGATATAACTGCTCCCGTAGATACATATATATTTGTATACATAGTTGAAGTTGTTAATATGAGAAGGGTATCTATCGGCCTTTGTTTGATTGCATCAAAGAGCATGTTGTCCGATAGACGAGAATCATCTTAGCCGCCTACAGGATAGGCTCTGCCTAGTGACGTACTCAATCTTCTGTTGACTATTGCTGCAATATTTTCACCTTTAACATCGAGTTGAATGAAGACAGGCTTTTCTTCAACTGTGATTTGTTTGATGTTTGAGCCTTCAAATCTTCAATATTTGTTAATGAATCTCTGGAGGTAGCAGTTATTTTCAACATCATTTCGAGAATCATAAATTCTTCCTCTACCTTCTCTTCAGAGCATATTTTCCTAACTCCATAGTACGAAGCCTTGACTAGTGCTTTTTTGAAGCTGTTTGGACAAAAACTATTAAAATGTAGGTATTGTCCATTCTATGTGGGCTTACGGTAAAGTGACCTCTGGGGAAATCTTCATAGTATATCAGGATGTCTTCGACTTCAGTTATGTCTTAAAAGAGTTTAACAATCACAAGAGAATCACGAAATGAATGGAAGATTCCATTTTTCGACGCCTATCTGACAAGAAAAAATGGTGGAACTCTGAAAACATTTATCCACAGAAAACCCTCATGCAATGGCCAACTGACAGACTTCTATAGTTGGATACCTGTTAGTCGAACAAGAGCTCTTATCATCTCACGGGCAAATCGTATCAGTAGGATTTGCAGCAGTGACCCCTTAGAAGAACAGCTTTTATTTCTCAAAATTATCCTCGCTGAAAATGGATGCCTGGTATGTTTCGTGAAGAAGAACATGAAACCAAAACTAAAATGAGAAGAATGCACTTCATAGTCAAAGAAAACACTATATTTGAATCTCTACTGCAAGGGAGGCTTAGGTGCAGATATCCTCAAGAGGAGAGTCTCCAATTCCCGCTGACGAAACCTCTTCTGCAGCAACTTTAAACGTGACACTATTTAGCCACCCACTGCTTCGAAGCAGTGTGAAGTACAGACTCCCGTATATGACCATTTCAATGTGCACATATCAGTTCACCTACTTATCTATAGCTAGGTACATAGTGCAATCTATGAGGCTCCTATCAAAACGTGTTGGAGAACATTACCAAGGATGGTTGCAAAGAGAAGACACTATTTCAATAAGAAGCGCCCTAATTCTACACCTGTTACAGTATCTCAGTTGACTCATCATTCAGAGTCATTTACAATGTGATCAAAAATTTTAAAAAGATAGTAAGTTTCCGACTTCTTTGTTATTTAGAAATTCTCACCATATGTGTCGGAAAGCCAAAGCTGTTTCAGTAATTATTGTGTTCCTGTCCGAATCATTATCACAAAGAATAGAGATGTCATCCATATATCGGTAATCGAATCAGAATTTTCTAATAAAGTTGTTCAAAGATCCATTTTTCCAGTTTATTTTGAAAGAAATCCGCCAAAATTGAAACGACGGGGAGCCCATCGTCACCCTTTGAAATAACGTCATTAAATCGTCAGTTAGACTCTGTTTATCTGGCTGGTATCACGAAGTCTTCTAGTTTCTCCAAATCCTCAAAATGAAACTTCACATTAGACACACTGTTTTCTCTATCCTTCTGCTCACAAATTTCTTCATTGTCCGTCTCTGTTCTTCTTCTTTTTGTTGTTGTTGTCATGACTAACTGCTCAGTTCACAGACATCCTATCCACCATTCCCCATGATTACCAACCTCTAATAATTAAGCACTAACTACGTAAATAACAGTGTGTCAATTCAGTGATATCCTGCTTATATAATTACTCAAATAGCTCAAATGGTCAAAATAATCGCTAAAGCTGGATCAGTGATTGAAATCAGGTAAAAGAGAGTAGAAAATCAGTAAAGCATATTGGAAAGCTGTTTCGTCCCGGTGTGGAACTCTTCAATAACATGCATTTATGATCCCACCGAATAGGGTTCAAACTGAAGGCCCTCAGGTTACAAGGTGGGACGGGATCCCATAGCCTAAAAATTGTAGCTCCTAGTACGTCAACGTATATAGCGGGAGCGACAACTAATGTTGTCGGTGAGCATTTGTCCTCACGGCAAATCTGGTGGACCCCATTGATAGTGAATACTCAGTTTACTTATCAAAAACAGAAGAAAAAATAACTATACATAAATTTATGTAAATAACTTGTTCATTATACGCCTGTTAGATTGATTAGTACAAATGTATTAAAGTGTCCTGAGAACAGCGTGTGTATCGATGTGAATTGTGTATCCATGTTGTAAAGTTTTGGTTATACAATGGACAATTTCTTCTTGATAAAAGGTCACTTCTCACAACCAACAGAATAAAATAGTTAGGGAAAAAATATCAACAATAACAGCAGTGTACAACATGCACACACACAGACAGAAAGACCAGTTAAGCGTGTTTCTTTGACAACACACTTTGAAATAATTCCATTGGTAAAGGGAATATAATTGTAGAGTTTTGTTCTGTAGCAATTGTTGCTAGAGTTTGTAAATAACGTAATTGTATAGCTGCAGGGGATAAGGTCATTTCTTCAGCAGCTTTTCTCAATGTTGTTGATGCATCCAATTCACCTTGAGCTGCTATCACCTTGGCTTTAGCCGCTCTAACTGCTTGAGCTTCAGCAGCCATTGCACGTTGCATATCTTGTGGCAATGAAACATCTTTGATTTCAACACGTTCCACCTGTAAAAGCAATAAGAACAAAAATAACAATAATAATTACAAAGCAATCGGTTTCTAAGTTTTTTTTTCAAATAATTGTCGGGGTGTAATCAAGTATTAAGTTATACACCCTAAACTTCAACACTACGCTGTACCTCAAGTCTTTATCAACCTCATTCAACGGCTGTATGACAGTGGCACGTGGCAGTCAGGTGATCCACAACGGAAAATACAGCGAGGTGTTCAAACTGAATGTAGCAGTAAGGCGAAAGTGCCTATTATCACCAACGATATTCTTAATTGTGATAGATTGGATAATGCGTCAGACCGTGGAGAACGAGTAGACAGGAATACACTGGACCACAGATGACAAGACTTTAGAAGATCTGGATTTCCCCTGTGAATGATATTTGTTTATTGTCACGTAAACTCGAAGACTTACAGGGGAAAACCAACAAACTGGCTGAAGAGGCAGCGAAGAAAGGACTGTTGGTGAACTTAGAGAAGACGGAGATGATGAAGATAACCAACGAAGTGCAACAACAACCAGCACCAATCACCATTAACGGGAAGGAGAGATTTAACAGAGATGTCAATGCCGATCAGGATCGGAAAGGCTTGGTAAGCCTACATCAATCTGGAACCAGTATGGAAACCTTCTACACTCAACATAAGGACACACGATTCGGATTTTTAACACCAATGCCACGTCGATCCTTCTTTACGGGTCAGAAACTTGGCCTGTGTGTTACGAAAAGGATTTTCAACAGGCTATTGCAGACTGTCATCAACAGCTGCCCACTTCGCTGGCTCCATAGTGAAGATCAAATGGATAGACAGAAAGAATAAGCCACAAGAAACTGTGGGAACAAACCGAATGAGAGCCGGTCGCTCAACAAACTGTAGGAGAAAATGGAGATGGACTGATCGGGTGTACACGCCATTGAGGAGGCCATAGGTCGAATGACATCGCGTGCAATGCAGGCCATCGCTCAAGTGGGAGGTGAATGGGAAGGGAGCGACAAGTGGGTGGTCAATGCGAGGGTGACATGGAGGAGATGGTGTGTTGGGGAGAGGTAGGAGGAGATGGGAGATTGTGGGCAATAACCAGGGGTTTGGTCAGATGAAGAGGACAGAAGAAAATATAATAGAAGGGAGTGTAGATGTTTGTTGAAGCCATATGTTCCACCCGGAACCCAAAGGAAAAATAATAATAAACTGAGTTTCTATGGTCAACGATCCAGTCAAATGTTCCACTCCACCACCTTGAAGTACCCACTCAGAAGAAATTAGGCTAATTTAGAAGAAACACGGTACATTCATAAAAAAACAAAGATACCTTTTAAAATGTGGGGATACCGAACATACAGAACATATAGCGTACTTCGAAGTTTTCTAATGATGCTCTAACCGATGTCGGTTCATCATGAAATACTAAGATTAAAATTTATTCAAAATAATCCCAGTCAGGTGATCCACAAGGGAAAACTCAGCGAGACATTCGAAGTGCATATAGGATTAGGACAAGGCTGCCTGCCTATTATCACCGATGATATTCTTAATAGTGATAGACTGACTGGATTATGCGTCAGACTGTGCAAAGGAAGTCAGTGAGAAGACAGAAATATACTGCAGTGAACGATAAGAAGACTTAAAGATCTGGATTTCGCGCGTGGATGATTTATGCTTAATGCCACAGGCACACAAACCCGAAGACTTACAGGCGAAAACCAACGAATTGATTGAAGAAGAGAGGTAGGAAGCAAAGACAGGATGAAATACACGCCCTGAATCGACAGACACAAAAAATCACACTATATTAACATAATAAATGACTCACTTTAATTCCCCAATCATCTGTAGCTTCGTCTAGTAGATTGGCCAATTTTTCATCAATTTGATCACGATTTGTTAGCAATTCAGATAATTCATAAGTTCCCAATACTGAACGTAACGAACTGACAGCTAATAACTCCGCTGATCTCCTTGCATTTTCAACACGTAACAGAGCAGCAGCTGGTTCAATGACTCGCATAAATACAATAGCATCAACAGTCACAGTGACTGCATCACTTGTAAGTATTTCTTGTGGTGGAATATTCACTGTTTGTGTACGTAAATCAATCGAGATCATTTCATCAGCGTAAGGTATTAAAAATTGTAGCCCAGAGCCTAAAACATATTTCCCACCAGAACGTTTCAACTTGCCGAAACGTAGGATAATAGCTCGTTCATAGGTTTTAACAGTACGTATTGCAAAAAATATTGATATTGGAAAGGTACAAATCACGAAGATGACTAATAGAACAAATAATACTTCACCGGCCAAACCTATGCCTTCTACTTCTTCTTCTGGCTTCCAGTGTTCTTCATGATTTTTTTTTCTACTCGACTGTCGTTCAATGTTTACAACTTCAATATTTGATAATCCTCTAATTGACATTATAATTTCAAAAAAAAAGAATGCAACTAACAATTCTGACTACTATAAAATATAGTAATCAACTAACCAATCACATGTTTCTATAAAAGTGAGCAAAACATACTTTAACCTGATTGGTTCTTTACACCGATAAATTGTGCTAAGCAACTGACCAACAATTTTAATGTAACCAATAGTTATGGACCTAGAGACAACAGTGGACTTGATGACACCACTACTGGAGGAGGTGTGGAAAGAAGGCAAAGTACCCGAGGATTGGAAGAAGGGATACTTATTTAAACTACCAAAGAAAGGAGGCGTAAGTCAATGCAAGAACTGGCGCACCATTATGCCCCTGTCCATCCCAGGCAAAATACTAAGCCGCATCATCCTGGAGAGAATCAAACAAGCCAACCTGGATGAAAAACTTCGACCGGAACAGGCTGGATTCAGGAGAAACAAGTCATGTATTGATCAGATCGCCACATAACAGATCATCATTGAAAAAAGCTTGGAATGGAAGATTCCTGGCCAACACCACCAACAGCAACAACAACAACTACAGACAACAATCAGCATAAATGGGAGGAACCTGAAAGAAACAACCTCCTTCACCCACCTACCTGGGAAGTATCGTTCCAACTACAGGCGGAACTGACGAGGATATCAAAGCAAGAATCAGAAAAGCAAGACAAGCTTTCACTACTCACATCAAGTCTGTGTGGATGTCAAAAGCACTCAGCATCAATAATAAGATCCGGATTTTCAACTCCAATGTGAAGTCAGTGCTAGTTACTATACGGATCAGACACTTGCACTGCACGTCATAAAGAGCATCTCAAATAAACTACAGACCTTCATTAACAGTTGTCTTCGCTCAATACTCAAGATAAGATGGCTGGCCAGAAAAGATCAGCAACAAGGATCTATGGCAATGAGCGAACCAACCCAGCGGGAAGCGATTGTGTAAGAAGTAGGCAGGAAGAAATGGAGATGGATTAGCCATACTCTCAGTAAACAAACCATCAAGTGACATCACTAGACAAGCCATTGCTCGAGTGGAACCCGAAAGGGAATCGGCGAGTTGGTCGTCAGTGCAAGAATGACTTGGAGTAGGTCATGTGAAGAGCAGATGAAAGCGTGTGGGCAGACTTGGAGCCAGGTGAAGACCCTAGCAGAGAGCCGAACGCAATGGAGGCGCACGGCTGAAGCCCTATGTTCCTCTAGGAATTAAAGGAAACAATAATAATATTTTTTATTGGATATTATAAGTCACTAGGAGTGGATGGATCTGTGCTGTCATTCAGAACGATTTTCAGCCATATCACAAATTGTCTCCAGCCTTCATTGGTTTTTACCATCCGGAGGATGGGAATCAGCCAGTCAGGATGCAAGTTAATGAAATAATATTGTAACAGTACATTGTAAAAAATACAGTTGACGAGTTCTAAAAAAAATTAATGGATACGTCATGATACAGTTAGTGTCCGCTGCTACAAATTATTAATATAATCATCACCCACACAAGTGTTCACTGCTCGAGTCGTATCGACTGGTAGAAGCTGTGTACCGGTTGTAGAACAGTCCTCGGATAAGGATGAGGGGTTCCTGCAAAATCCAAAGGATACAACATGAATAGTATTGAAGCAAGTAGACAGTATGGACCAGGGTGAAAATGAAGCACCGAGCAGTACACTGTATTTTACATTGCACTGCGAAGTTATCTATATTTCCAGATTCCATATACATCCATAGTTAATTTTAGCCTCTTCACAAAAGCGCTGCAAAACTTTATCTTTTGTTCTTTTGGAACATTTTGTTCATTTGATAAATTCAAATAAGACATTAAGAAAGTAGATATCTGGAATAATAGAGAAGATCCGTACCTCAGGTGGATGATTGGCAATTAATAGTGTTCTCTGAGCTGTTTGGTTGGTTTGTTTGCGAAGCTTTCGTCATCCTTCTGAACAACCTCTTTAGCTCAAGTTTTAGCATGAACTGTTGTAAATTTTCCATGAGTGATAGAATTGCGTCTCCCGGTAACCATCTTTACATTTGTATTGATCGGGTTTTATTGACTTGGATTTTGAACTTTCTAGTCACCTGATTTATTTTTTAATAGTTGGTATATTTGGTCTATATTAATATGTTTGTTGATAGCTGGCTGTTTTACTTGAGTACCAGGTTTCTAGGAATTCCCTGACTGCAATTTCGGTGTTTCCTCTATCTAAAATTTCGACATTATCTTAATCAAATTAGTGTCCATAATTATCTATATGCATTGATATGAAAGAATATATATCATGTATTTTCACGGCTGATTTGTGTTCCTGGATTCTGATTCGAAGGTGACGCCCACTTTAGCCAATGTAATGTCCGTTACAGTTCATACAAGTGATTTTATAAATGGTATTAATTTTAGCTTCTTTTCCTGTTGGATGGGTCCTTTGGTTAGCACAATATTGAATGCTGGCTGGCTGGTTGGCTGGCTGACTTGCTTACTACATTTATTTCAAACGGTTCTAATATTCTAGATGTTATTTCAGAGATATTTTTTCCTATATATGGTAGGATGAATTTTATGTGTTCTCTGATGATGGTTCCTTGTTGGTATTGTGATTCCATTTTACGGAATATACACATTGGGTCATAGGAGTTATTAAAAAGAAAATTTTCTTTTCGACGAAGTCATCATCTAGGCTGTACATTCACGTATTTATATCAAATGGATGGGAAAGTTCCACAATAATTTCCGGTTAAGGGTCAAATTAATAAAAATACAATTAGGAATTAGAATACCATAATAAACAGAGGGACGGGTAAAACTCAATCAAAGTAGTATAATAACTCAGAAGATTGACATTGTGCAATTGGGGGTTAGAAATGTGGAAATAACAAAATATACAGGATGTTTGGATATGAAAATACGGTAGTGTAGACAGGGATTAAGAAAAACTTAAAATAACATGAATAAACAGGAAGTTTAGATAAGAAAGGCAATGGAATCGCCATTACTAAAAAAATTTACCTGTTTATGATGGCCATGGCAGGGACAGGGGTTGGACGTATTTCTTTTGGGTTTGAGATTTTGGATAGCTAACGCCTCAGCCATGCCGAGATGCCTTGGTTTCACTCCCTTTGATAGGTTTGATTGAATCCCGTATATTACTTTGAAGGACTTTTCGAAAGGCGCTGAATGTCCTGAGTTGACCAGATGTTCTGTCACTGAACTGTATACACGTTTTTGGTCTCCTTTTACTAGTCAGGCTGGGTAGTGTTCGCGAGCGCGTTTTTTCAAGTTGGCGTATGGTACGATCGATGTACTCAGCTTCACAAGAGCAAGTAAACTGGTATATGCACGTTGAGGTGCCCCAATGCGACAGCTTGTCTTTCGCGTTCTGGTTGAACGGTTTCTTGCAGGAAAACGTCAGTCGTAGGCTCGCGGCGAAGTATGTTTTCCTCAGCGATTTGAAGAGGCGTTTGAGAAGGATTTCTGCTTCAATATCACCTTTGAATTCTAGATTAAGCAGGGGTATTTTCTTTGGAACGGACTGGACTTGTTTGGAAGTCTTCTTAGATTTGAAATTCTTGTCTATGAACCTTGGCGGGAAACCGTTATCCATCAGGGTTTTTCGGAGATTACGCAGTTCTTCTTCAATCACTCCCTCGCTGCATATCTTCCGAATCCTCGAGGAAAGAGCGTATATCAGGTTCCTCTTTCTGCTTAGCAGCACGAAGCTTTGAAAGTTGATGAATGATAATGCATTTTCAAGAATTTGTTTGTAGTGATTCTATTTGTTTCGGGTTAGAACACGGACTGATATCAATCAGTGAGAGAACCATTCAAAACCGGGCAGTACTGGACAGCTGAAACAAATAGAAACCCCGTAAAAACGAATTCTTGAAAACTAATCTGGTCCTTCCTATTCAGGCAGTTAACCTGGGGTCTTAGTGGGGAGTTGTGACCAGTATGGTACAGCAGGTTGAAGGTGGGGCAATAACTCATCATCGAAGAAGATATTGTGAAGTGGTCACTGTGTGTCGTGCATGAATTGGCAGAAGTTGGAATTTATGTACTTACTAGCCAGTGGATTGGTTCCCAGTGGCTTAACGGTCTAAGAGCTAGCTCGCCTTGTAACCAGAAGGTTGTTGGTTCGAACCCTGACTGTGGGGTGGGTGCGTACTGATGAAGAGCACCAAACTAGGCTGATGAAACAGCTGTCCAGTACTTCAGTGGTGGTTTTCCACTGGATCTCTAACTGATGTCAGCTCATGATGAAAACCTACAACCAGTTACGTAAGAGTTAAAAAGAAATACAAGAGGTATAAGTAGTTAGGAAAACCAACAAACAAAATCAATTCAGTAGAAAACTACCCTGTTGTTACCATGATAGTAAAAACAGTTGAATAAATCCTTATTGTATGCATTATTATTATTGTTCCCTTGAGTTCCTAGTGGAACATAGGGCTTCAACTGCACTTCTCCACTTGCTTCTGTCTTCTGCTGTACTTTCACCTGCATCCATGTTAGTCCATACTGTTTCAACTCCTCTTCACACGATCTCGTGTTCCATTCGAGCTATGGCCTGACGCGCGATGTCACTCAGCGACCTCCTCAACGAGTGTCCAATCCACCTCCACCTTCTCCTGCATATTTGTTGGACGATTGGTTCTTGTTTTGTTTCTTCCCATAGTTTCTTGTTGGTGATTCTTTCCGGCGGCCATCTGATCTTCAGTATAGAGCCAGCGAAGACAGTTGTTGGTGATAAAGGTCTGCAACAGGCTGCTGGAAATATTCTTGGTGACCCGCCAAGTTTCTGATCCATCCGTATAGAAGAACTGACTGACTTGACGTTTGTATTGAAAATCCGAATCATTTTGTTGTTGATGCAGGCTGAGTGACGAAGATTTCCAGATTGGTTTCAGGCTGATGAATGTGTTTCTCACCTTCCCGATTCTCGATTTGACATCGTCGTCCGTTCCGTGTGCCTGTAGTTGAGACAATGCTCCCTAGATAAGTGAATGAAGTAA